CAAGTATAAAATGTAATTCTGTTAAAATTTAAATAAAGTGATGTGCAGTAGTCTTAAAAATGCCCAAAGTTATCCATTTCAGCATCGCTTTTAATCTTGCTTCCCCACCCCAAAAAGTCAACAAAAATAGGAAGCCTACGTAATACAAATATTTTAAAACCAAAAAAATCGACATTATATGTTCTAAAGTGAAATTTACATTCAGAATCAACTTGTGGCTCGGGAAGAGGCTTATCAAAATATATGCGTGTGGGAAGGGAAGATTTAACTGCGCACAGTGGTGGCCGTGTCGGGCACAATGTTTCCTTCGGGCAGCTCCCTCACCAGCGACAGCAGCTTCTCCAGCTTGGCGATCTGCAGCGTGGTCTGATCCAGATACAGTTGCTTCTTGGGCGGCTTTACCATCACGCGAAGATTGGGCGATAGTTTGAGCGAAGTGGTAACTCCCCTGGACAAAAGAGTAAAGTGTGGAGAGGATCAAGGCAGCGAGAGGGAACGAAGTTACTCACTTTTCGTCGCCAACCACAATGAAGGGTATCTTCTCGTTAAAGGAGAGACGCGTGAGCTTGTTCTTTCGCTTGGGCACCACCGCCTGGATGCAGATGGCCTTGTACTTGTTCACATTCAGATCGAAGACGTGCACCTTGCCCTCGGTGGTGACGGCTGCAAAGACGGTGCTGGAATAGGGCGCCCACTTGACGTCGCCCACGGCAGAGCCGAGATCGAAGATGAAGAGCGGATCGGCACGCATGTCCTCCCAGACCTTGACGCGCCAGTCGCCGCTGCAGGACACAAAGATGTTCGAGTTGAAGCGATTAAAGTCGATGCGGTAGACGGACATATTGTGTGCGTTGTAGGTCATCAGGTACTTGGAGCTGAAGGCCGTGCTGCACTTGTATATGTAGCCACACTCGGTGCCCACCAGGAAGATCTTCTGGTCGGTGGGGTGGAAGACCATGCAGCTGCCGCCGCTCTTCAGGCTGACCTTGGTGCCGTCGGGTCCATCCACGAGGCCATCCTGCAGGAACAGCGTTATGATGGTGGTCACCCAGAGCTTGTTCTGCATCAGGATCCAGTTGAAGACCCGCCCGTCGGAGGACACCGAATAGAAGTTAATCTCGCCGTCGGTCATGTCCGGGCCCCACTTGATCTGCCAGACGCACTCTCCGTGCTTGCAGTTGACGCCCTTGGAGATGTACAGCGGCTCCTTGCAGTTCTCCCGCAGATTGTAGACGGCCACGTTGCCATCGTAGAGGCCAATCACGACCAGGAACGGGTATGTGGGATGAATGTCACAGCACATGACACCGCAATCGGTTTGTACTGCAAGGGAAAGCACTCAGCAAGGAGGGAGACATGAGACTCTGCGGCACTCACTGATGTAGTCCGGAAAAGAGGGATTCTTGACGGTAAAGAGGCACAGGTAGCCCTCGTTTGTCTGCTTCATAAATTCATCTAAATGGCAGGGAGCAGGAAGGATAAAGATTTGGATTTCCTCCTCTGTTTTCCATACTCACGTGAGCCAAAGCAAACGGCAAAGAGATCGTAATAACTCGGATTGAAGAGGATATCGGTGACGTTCATCTTCTTGGTTTTTTCGTACTGAAACTTCCACAGCGGCAGCAGGTTGCCCTCGCCCTCGCGGAACTCATCCGCCGGATCCTCCCAGTAGCGATAGTCATGGGCAATGTCATCGTAGATGTTTTGGTTAATCATCCGCTCGAGTATTTGCCAGCACTTGAGGTACTTTTTGTTGAGCTGCTCGGCAATGGCGGACTTGTCCTTGAACTTCTTCGAGCGCATGCCCCGCTTGCGGTCCTCCTTCTTGGCGGCGCCTTCCTTCGACACTCCCTCAGAGTCCTCCAAGTACGAATCGTAGATGACCCACTGCAGCACGTTGCCGCCAAACTGCGATCGTGGCGGTGGGATCGTTTGTGTGTCCACATTCTAGAAAGGAAGGAGAGTCCATCGGTGTCTATGGGGAGCTATGGATGTGATGCACTCACCCTCTTCGGATTGGTGTACGTTAAGGCAGCCCGTTCGCAGTAGTTGAACTGATTGATCAGCTTTCGCTTCTTGGCGGAGGCTGTGGCTGCCGCCGGTTGGGCTGCAGCTGCTTCCTCATCATCGCCACGTTGCTCCCCCTCTTCTACACCTTCTTCACCTGCCTTGGCCTCCTCCTCTTCCTCTTCCTCCTCCTCGCCCTCCTCCTCTTCGGCCTCCTTGTCGGGTGCACTCTTGGCGTCGTCATCGTCATCGGCTTCACCCTCGCCCTCGCCCTCCCCAACAGATGTGTCGCGCTGCTCCACCAGCGAGTAGTGGGGCATGGGCAGCGGGTAGCCGATCTCGTCGGACTCCTCAATCTGGCGACGCGCCTCCTCCGAGTCCACGTGCAAAGAGTTCCCAGGGTAGCCCAGCAGGGTCACCGTGTTGCCCGGCAGCGGTGCCGGCACATACTCCCCATCCTTGAAGCTGTACACCACCAGATTGTGGATGACGTTCGTGTTGGTGGGCGTCAGCACCTTGGTCACCTCCTCGGCCAGCTCGGCCTCCGTCAGATCCAGCTGATCGTCCGGCTTGAGCAGCTGGCGCGAACGTATCCAGGCATCAAAGTCATCCGCATCGCCGCCACCGGCATCGGCCTTCGTCTTGGAGGCTCTGTTCTGCTTGACAGAGAGTGGATGGATGGATGGGGGGCCAAAGATTAGGGCACAGGTGGGACAGGTGGGTGTGGGAGTAGGGCCAGTGCCAGGGTCAGTGGTGCATGCAACATTCCATTGATGGTGCAGAACGAGCAACAGAATGGCCACTCACCTTGGGGAAGGCTAATCTTCGGGCTTGAGTGCACTGAAAGCTAAGCTAGGTGCTGGATCTATGGCTAGGACTAGGTCTACTTCTATGTCTATTAGGGAACCAAGCATGAGGCATGCAAGTTGAAGTATGAGACGTGGTGAGGGCCTGGTTACCTCATCATCATCATCGCTACTGCTGGCAACATCAACATCCTCCCGCGGATCGGTGGCAGCCGCAGATTCTGACATAATTTTGCGACTAAAATTGAATTGTGTACTGAGAGATGGAGGAGGATAGCGATCTTTCCTACTTAGCTACGACTACGAAGAGAGAGAGAGAGAGAGAGACAGAGAGGACTACAGATAGCACGGGGTACATTGTATTTACAGAGGGTACAGCTTGGTTATGGAAAGGATATCGTCGATTAAATATATGTACATTGAGAAAGGAGAGACTCAAACAACTCTCTGATTGTATTTACAAGTGACTTCCGGCGTTTTCTACAGAGGATCTACTTATGTACATGTCTGCTTTATCGCTCTGAAACGCACTGTACACACACACACGCACACACACACGAAATTCTACGAAATATGCTAGTGGGGATAACAATCAATCTATTGGTCATATACCGCCATGGCCTTGTTGGCAAGCTTCCACATCTTGGCCAGAAATTGGTTCGTGGGCAGAGAATGGCAACTAAAGGGATATCCTACACGGAGGAGCGCGCTAGTGTCTGTCTGTCCAGCGAGAGTGGCGAGGAAAGACTGCCAGGCAGTCAGCCAAAGTGGAACTGAATTATGACCAAATATATCCGACAATTCCTGATGACGTTCGTCATGTCAGCGGCCTCTTCACGACAGCCCAAAAAGCGAAGAAAAACTTTCTGTCCTGACGTCACGACAGCTGGATTGGGCGGGTCTGGGGTGGCATCAGAATAAACAAATTTCGCACACAACTTGATTAGCACGTACTTGGAGGGGGAAAGGATATAAGTTACATATTTATTTTGATGTGCAACTAAATGAAAAGGTGAGCCTACGGTCGTATATCGTACGAGTGAGGTGAGTGATTTATTGAGTCTTTTATTGCGTTGGGTCTGATGAGCATTCAACACTCATCCTTGAGGGGCCTTCTACTCACACCAAACACTGGCGAACTTCTCCTTGGACCCCAAGTACGGGTCGGAAACTCTATAAATTGGTAGCTGTAACCAAATTGCACGGCACTGCCACTGGGCTGAGACCCTTTCAGTTGGGTGTGCTTGGGGCACGCACATGGATTGCGCCGGAAATTGCAAATTATGTATCGTGACAAAGTTCCATCAGCAAGAAACGTATTAAAAATAAGCGCAAAAAGAAAATTTAAACAAGCAAAAACCAACAGAAGTCGAGACTCTGGCATTAGGTTGCCGAGTGTCGAGGCGAAAGGATGTGTGCAGCAGCGGCAGTGTCGAATGTGGAGACTATAGAGAGTGGATGTGATAGGGAATTGCATCTGGAATCCCTGATGTTATTTACCTTCCCTTTGTTCTGCTTGCCGTCGCCCTTGCCTCCTTTTGGGTCCGGCATGGTTCCTGTCTATTCCGTTCACTTGTATATTTTTATTATATGATTTTTAGTTCTCTTCCGGACTGCTTGGAGATTGAAACTGCTGTGTTTGTTGTGCTCGTGCGTTCTGACAGTTGTCTGAAAGGTGTCCTGTGTGCGTATTCCACAAACCAAAGCAAACTAAACGAAAAAGCCCCTACAACTTTACGTAATGCCATGGGGGGAACAAAAGTTTTTGCTGTGCTGCCGGCAATTTGTGGCCCTTTTGTTTGTTTCAGTTTCTATAGAAATTCGCCCAAATCCAAACGCACTATATTGTGGTTTGCCATTTGCATATCGATTGGGCAATTCTCACACTCTGAATCCAATCACAATCCACAGTGCACAGTTCCAGTGCCAGACGGAATCCTTGAAGATTTTCTTTTGAATACATTTTTATTAGAGCAGTAAATCGATCGGTGGTTGTACATTATTATCCCTATATATATGTCCTTTGCTGCCTTAGACTTTTCACATATCTCACTGGAAGTTCTGGCAGATAAACGGAGACAAGGAACATCGCCGGCCCGAACAATATCATGCACAACAGCCAGTAGAGCAAGCCAAAAAATGTAAATGGTTCCATAAATGTATGAATGTTTGTACCAGAAACGATCGTTAATAGTGTGAATGATGAATTGTCTTTGTATATAATTGTAGATAAATATCACTAGTATCACTAAACACCGGACTTTGTCTGGCTGAGAGTTTGCACGCTTCTCCGATGTTTCTAATAGATTTACAGATGTGTATTATGCTGCTGCAGGTCACTTAAGTTGATGATTTTAGCTGTTCCAACGTTATGGCTATCGTACAGATCCGCATACGTAGGAATATGTTGCTTCAGGCGCGCCACCTAAAGTGAAAAGAGAATAAAATCAGTTAGAGATTGGGCTCAATTCTCAGCTTTATTTGCGGCTCTTACAGCGTGCTGTTTCCTGCCCTGTTCGACGTTAACTGGCACAGCTGCTCCACTGAATCACGCACTTTATACACTCGTTATGCCCACACCTCAGATGTGTATTTTTGGGGGCTATCCCCGGGCAAATCACATTCTAAATGCGAAGCTTTTTCAGCTGCAACTGACGCCAGTTAATTCGTAACTGATCCCCGGTACAGGCCTGCTTCGCCCCGCCAGCCAACAGGTTCTAAAGTTCCAGTTCTCGGCTCAGAGCTGAGAGCGTGACTACACCTATTCAAGACTCATTTAATGCCCAAGGCAAAGCCAATTCTATGACAACACAAACTGGTTTTCATTTCTATTTCAATTCAACATTTTAATGGAGCCGATCCACACAGTTCTTGGCTGGTCCCACACAAACACCATTTAATGGCAGGCATTGAACGTTTATCAGTGGTCCAAAAAATGTCAATGCAATGAGTATATAATGTACGAAAGATTGTGTACTCGTAAGGCTATGTACAAGGATTGATACGTGGATGGGAGAAGATAATGAAACATTTCTGAAGTTCTATTACAACAGCCCTAAATGGCTGGTCACTGCCCTAATCTAATCTAAGAACTTTCTCCAACAGTTGTGTAAACTATAAACCCCTCTCAGAGCTCTTCAACTGCGGAAGTGAGTGATCACTCTCTCCATGGGCCCCAACTTACATGATGTAGAAATAATTATCGCTGTCCTTGCGCTTGGCATTTTGAGTGGACGCGGAATTCGATGAACTGCTTTCCGTGTGCTGCGAGCCTGAGTTACAGTTCCGGCCCCAGCGATTGGGAATATCACTACCATTCGTGTGTCCATTCTGCTGCTGATGATTTCCGAGATCGTTGGCCTTGTTGGAGCCTGCGAAGAACGACTTTACGCTATCCATGATGCGACCCTCGTTCCAGATCTCTCTCGATTTCTTTGTGTGGATCGGGTGGAAGTGTGTGTACACTCGTATGTCGAGCCTCCGCAGAAACAGTCGAAAATTGATAAAGCTAAAAATATAATTTATTTATTTATTTTGACTGAAATCTTGTCGTGCGACTGGTGCCGCTGTTTCCAAGCGTTTGGGAACTGTTTCTGTTTGTTTCTTTTCTTTTTGGGTGTCGTACGATCTAAATTAAATCAATTTCTGATGCAGTTGAGCAACAAGTTGATTATTGATAAGATTTAAAGCAAACCTAGCTGTCGTATCGTATCTTGGGTACAGATATTTATGATTGTTTTTCATTGTTCTTTATGGCGAGCGTACGCACATGAACTGTGGCTTCATGCAGCACAAAGCACAAAGAAACAATTGAATTGGTTGTTCAAACAAAGTTCGATAAAATGGCACACATTAGGTGGGAAAGTGCGTCTTAATTTAAATGCAAACCGTAGTTAGTGGGTACACTTATGTATATTGTGTGTACATGGTGTCGATCGATGTACATATTATCAATTAGCGGTTCAAATCAGTTCACCGGCGGCGCTGATAGCCGCATTATGAGTTCCCAAAACGACAGAGACACTCGCATTCTTAGGGATCCATGGGAAATACATAGTTTGCGTGGTTAGACCAAATGGCCCTGGATGGCCCAAATGGCACTGATAAAGACGAGGTCAAGCCATTTGTAGGCTGACAACCGACCTACCTCACACACGCAATTGCCGCTTGTAACACGATAAAAACTTGTGACTAGCTGCTGTCTATCGCGTTGGATCGTTGAGTTCAATTTCAATTGCTTTGAAACTATTTCGCCCTGGACTATTCCTCCAGCTGAAGAAACTGAACACACACTTCAAATGAAACCCACGAGAAACCCAACACAGAACCGCTTTGCACAACGACTGAATCAATTGTGCCGTGCCGTGCCGCTTAGACTCCACGGTAAATTTCATTTTAATATTTCAGTGCTGCCATTTGTTGGTATTGGTGATCTGTTGGGGCGGTTTTTCTAGTTTGTTGTGATCGTTGTTTCGTTGTATATTCTGTATACATAACACCTTTAACTATGTACCAACCTTTTGGCTGCATTGCTTTGCTATATCCTACCTGTTAAAACAGGTACGAAAAACCTTGTAAGTGAACTTCCCGTCTTGTCTCTTTTCGTTCGCCCACTCTGGCTCTCTTTTTGTGGTCAACTCTCTCTCACACACTTCTCTCTTTGCATTTCTTGTGCTCCGCGTGCACTGATGCCGTGCATTAATGAACGGTATACACACATACATACATTCGAGCATGTGTGCGGCATGTGTGTATTTTACAACTGCTCACACACAATTTTGTAATTCATTGTTTGGTGGACTTTGGACTTTCGGGTATACCTCGGGCGCATATGTCATATGTGCATATGTAAGTATGTTTGTATGCATACTACACATGTATTTTCTTTATGTATGTACATATATACGGTGGAGCTATGTAAATGACTTTTGGTTTGTCGCTCTTACGGAGTTTTTGTGGCGGCTATGCGAATACCCTACAGAAAATCGATTTGGTTCGAAGCGTTTGTTGTCCAGTGTTATTTCTGGGAAAATATGTCATTACACTGGGTCACTCGACACTGAGTTGATAAGAACCGATTCTCGGTTAAGACAAGTATGCTGATTAATCCGTATTATTCTCCGGCGAAATGTTCATCCGAATGGAACTCTACGCTCTGAAAAACGTGCTCCTGTGGATTATCCTGTGGCTCCTAGCTGTAGGCAACTGTAGGTGTACCTGCGCGATCGCTTACAGAGTAGTTTGTAATGCATGAACCTCTTTGCAGTGGCAGAAAACGTGGAAAGCTGTTTGTACTGTGTGCCCATTGACGAATGCGGAAAACTGTTTGGCATCCTGCAGCAGGGTAAAAGTGCACCATTCGAAGACATTCGCTTGCTCTATCAGTCCGGCTGCAATGATTATCGCGGCTTGTTCTGCTGCGGCAACGATCTAAAGGGCATTGAGGAATTGGAACTCCAAAAGCCGCACTGTGGCGTCTCCGAGTCAAATCCAGTGGACTTCCGCATCATCAACGGCGAGGAAGTGAAGCTAAGCACCAGACCCTGGATGGCTCTCTTCTTGACCAACAGCTCCGCCAACGGCCAACACTTTTGTGGCGGCTCGCTCATCACAAAAAGTATTTAACTCCTTCCATACAGATAGCGACACTCAAATACTCATCCAATCCCTTGCAGAATTTGTACTCTCGGCAGCGCATTGTTTCACCAAGCGGGAGTATAATGATTTGTGAGTATTTTGCGAGTCAATTTTCTGTCTGGAATTGATGCTGAAGATCTTTAGGCAGAAATTCCGTGGTGGTTCGCTTGGGAGAGCACGATGTGCGCCATGCCAGGGACTGCCGGACCTATTGGGACAAGGAGATTTGTGCTCCACCGTCAGAGGATTTTGCCATCAAAAGGATAATTTCGCACGAATTCTTCTCGCATAGCTCCAATTACCACGACATAGCTCTGGTTGAGCTGGCCACGCAGGTGGATTACAAGAGTGAGTTCCCCTTACGTCACTCGATCAACAGTCATTTCCAGATGCTTCCCTCTGATCTCATCTTGCAGTTCACATCAAACCCATCTGTCTGCCCCTGAACGTAGAATTGCAGCAGCTGGCGGAAACTCTCGACTCCTTCAGCGTGGCCGGTTGGGGCAAGCTCAATGCCTATGCTGCTCGGGGCTCCGATGTGCTCATGGCCACCGATGTGCGGCGCAGCTCTCGCATAATGTGCACCATCAAGTACAGCATGTGGGTGAAGGAGAGCCAAATCTGTGCTGGCAGCGGCACCACAACAGAAGACTCCTGCCACGGCGACTCTGGCGGCCCTCTGGGAAGTCTCGTCAACTACTTCGGCCGACCCCGCTTCGTTCAGTTTGGACTGGTGAGCTTCGGATCCAGAAACTGCCAAAGTCAGGCCGTCTACACAAACGTAGGCGCCCATCTGCCATGGATAACAGAAAATATAGTTGAATAAACATCGATTTGTACATTATTTGTAGCAGCACACGAGATTCTTAGAGTAAACCACTTAATCGGACCACACAATGCCCTCGATCCAGTCGGTGAAGAGGTGAACCTTAGTGTAGACACTCGGCAGACCCTGGGTGCCGCACACCAGGCCATAGGAGACGATGCCAAACACTTGTTTGAGGCAGGAGTAGAGTGGATGCTGCACAAAGATGGGTCCGCCCGAGTCACCGTTGCAGGTGTCCGCATTGCTGGTGAGCGATCCGGCGCAGAACTGGGTGCGCGTCTCGATACCCTGCTGGAGTCGCTCCACGCACTGATCGTCGCTGAAGCGCTGCAGTGTGACCTTCAGCAGGTGCGACGATTTCAGGCCCTTGTCGGAAGTGAATCCCCAGCCGGCGGCAGTCAGCTGACTGTTCTCGTTGCCGCTGCTGGGCGGCAGACAAGCGGGTGCCACATGCTCGTTAAAGACTGCCGCCTTGTCCAGCTCTACGAGGGCAATGTCGTTCTTAAAGCCATCCTCGTCATCGTACGCCGGGTGCACCACATAATTGACCACTCGAAAGTCCTGCACCTGGGCATCGTCTGTGGTGCTGTTGTAGTCCAGCTCCCCGAGACGCACCACAAATTTAGGTGAGTCAAAGTCGGGATCCAGACGCTCGGCCTTTGATCTGTTGAAGCGGCAAATGTAAATTATTATCACGGCTATCGCTGGGCTTCCACTTACTCGCTGGTTTCCAGACAATGAGCCGCTGTGAGCACGAATCTGGGATGCACCAGAGCCCCGCCGCAGTCCCAGTTGATGTCGGCCTTGTCGCTCTCCCTTGTGCCAATCAGCGCCATGAAGGGGAACTCCTGGCCAGCCGCCTTCGATCCGCCCACAATGAAGGGCGTGGAGCGGCAGGAGGCGCGTGCCTCATTGAAACGCTTGCACTCTGATAAAGTTATGAGCTTTAGTTTTTCACGTTGACTAATGGACGCTCTCCCAGCTTACCCCGCTCAAACGGTCTCGTTTCATCGGCCGGCTTCACGTTCTGGTGATCCAGCGGTATTGGACAGCACACGATATCGTTGAACTCGTCACAGTACTTGATGTCAGGGCCAATCAAGTGCTGATTGTAGAATATCACGGGACAATCGGTGGCAGTTAGTTCCTTGCACTCGCCTGTTCCATTGTCGCAGAATTCGGCGCAAACACTGGCCAAAAGCATCAGCAGCAGCGAAACCTGAAGTCCGAGTAGCGACTCATCCATTTCCGACTGCGTCGCAAGCGAAACTGAGAGGCGATCACGAAACGAGCTTTCAGAGAAAGCGCAGAGAGAACTTCGCTGCTGTGACGTGACTCATTCAGCTGCTTCGAACTATCAGGAAGAAACACCTCCATTAACCAGTAACCAGTTCATTTAGGATTATTGAATAAATATTTTAAAATTCGCTTAGGCTACGGCTTAAGTTATCTGATAAAAGTTCTCACTTACACGATCTCATGATTGATGCAAAAACCGGTACAAAAAGAGCCAATAATACTACTAATTTGAACTTATGCTAGAGCTGGGTATTACGTCTGGTGGGGCCTCTATAACTAGTTGTGGCGCATGCCCATACTTTGCATGTGCTGCTGTTGTTGCTGCTGTTGTTGTTGCTGCTGCATGTGCTGCATGTACATTTGCTGCTGTTGATTGAGTTGCTGCTGCTGTTGTGGATTGCTACCGCTACCCAGTGGCACGCTCGTTGTTTGCGCAGCATTCACCTGTTGCTGCATGGGTTGCTGCTGCTGCTGCTGCTGCATGGGTTGTTGCTGCTGCTGCATGGGTTGTTGTTGCTGCTGCATGGGTTGCTGTGGCTGCTGCTGCTGCTGGTGTTGAGCTTGCTGCGGCGACTGTGTTTGATTTGTGACTGTATTGGCATTGCTTTCAGCGCTAAAATCAAGTGAAAACAAGTTAAATCTTTAAGTACTTTCACGTGTGGCAATGCTTACATCTTCTCTGTATGAATATCCTCCAGATTCAGATACGATATGAAGCGCAGGCGCATCTGTAGCAGTGGTCGCAGTCGTTTAATGATTGCCTCCGACTCGTTTTTAATGGTATTCCCCACATGAATGTACTTGATGTGGTAGCTGCAAACGATACAAAGTTAATTAGTCTTCAAAATGCATACAAATATTCTATAACACTAACAGAAAATCGCATATTTGATCCACATATTGCAGGGGTCTGGCACCGCTATGCTTGTCGACTACCTCCAGTATCTCATAGAGCAGAATGGCGATGCCTGCCACAGCATTTGGGGTCTCCAGCTCGATGCGTTTCATGAAGGGACCAAAGACATGGCAAAGATACAGCAGCTGCTGCTCTGTGTGCACGCAGGGCTTCAGCTTCTCCTTGATGTGCCTGGTCATGGCCGCCAGCTTGAAGACGCCCATGTGATGGAAGACCGAGTGAGCCACGGCCAGCACCACAGCGTAGCTCTTTTCCAGCATCGCCTCGCGCACCGTCTTGAAGTTGAACAGCTCGAAGGCATTGAAACGATACGTCCAGTTCAGCATGTTGGGTGTATTCAGCATTTCCTTCAGCCGATCATAGATGCCGGTCCAGTAGGGCTCTGGCAGCGCTGCCATCACGATGCCCACTGCATTGATGTAGCTGTGGATCTCCTTCTGCGGTATCACCGCATAGCCACTGACTATCACGTCGATGAGGTTGTTGGCCACCAATGCTGGGGCCACGGGCAGACCCAACAACTCCACACACGTCACATACAGCGCATGAGCGGGGGCATTGGGAAACTCGTTGAAGCGCCAGTCCGTGGTGTAGAACACATTCTTCCCGCTGATGGCTAAAAGGCAAGCGATTAACTTGAGTGTTCATTAACTTTCCCTCAGTTTAACTTACTCTCCGACAGTCGCTTAATTAAATTCATGTAGTAGCTCAGTTCTGGTGTCCAGAGCAAGTCTTGACTCTGAAGAAAGACCTTGTAGGGCTCACTGATACTCCAGTTTGGTGGCCGAATGTCACTGAAGGCGCCGGTAATCGTGCTCACCAGCTTCTTCTTCAACGAGGGTCGTTCCCGCAGAATGCGCTCATAGTAGTGCAGAGTGTTGTACAGATATGTGATGGGACGATCTGCAGGAAGAGCACACCCAGTTAATTCTTGCTTGGAGTGGGCAGTGGGTAGAGTGGGTACGCACCATGAAACTTGTAGAGTATGCTCAGATGATCCAGAATGAAGCCCAGGATCTGGTGTACACTCGGAATGGTGAGCTCTATGAAACGATGCACAACCACATCGAGCACGGGCAGAAAGCGCAGGCACACATTGCTGAAATACACGGGAAGAGCAAGGTGCGAGGCAGACTCGTCGAGAGCAAACTTTTCTGGGTACTTCTGGTGGAAGGACAGATGCTTATCCTGCCTATAAATGGGTAAGAGAACAGAGAATACTATTACCCTGCCTCACTGTTGGCAATCTTAACAATCTTACCAGTTGCTCTGCTTCCAGTGATCGGGATTGTTGTCCTTGCAGAACTCCTGCACGCGGTTGCGCAGCTCGCTGGCTTTCAGCAGCAGCAACTGGATGATCATGAAGCAGACCTGCGCCTCATTGCCCTCGTGGGTGCGCAGTGCCAGGCAGAGCACCACGCGATCGATGGTCACCACATTGAACTTCCAGATCATGTGGTTGATCGTGTCCACACACTTGTGGATAAAGTCACGGCCATCCGAAGAGCTGGCCACCTCTGCGACCAGATAGTCGCAGAACTTACGCAAATGCGTTGTCAGTGCGCGGGCACTGATGCCCTCCAGGATCCTAAAAGAAAGTAGGTTTAAAGAGGACGCGCTTTTGAGATTAATTACTCACTTGTAGGCCACTGGACTGATGCTCTCCGTCTCCCAAATTATCTTGAAGAGCAGACATAAGAACAGGGGATTGGTAGTTGGGCGCAGAAAGTGCGCAATAATATCGTTCTCGCTGGTCATCGAGGTCCATGTGCGGTACTCCTCCTCCACGGACTTTTTCAGCTGCTGCTTGTTCTCCGGCGGCTGGGCGTTCTGTGTGAAGTACTCGTTCAGGGCTGGCGGGAAGCAGGCCAGCGACTGCAGCGACCACGAATGTGGCGTGTGCTGCATTATGTTTGCCAGAAAGTCTTTGCACCAGCTCTGCATCTCGTCACCGCCACCATGCACATGCATGGAGCGGGCCAGCGTCAGGATGAGCACACGGTTCAGCTCCTCACTCTCGTTGGAAGCCACCGCTCCGGGAGACTTGTCGTTGAAGTAGCGCGAGAACTGCGGCTGGAACTCTGCCGATCCGATGCTGGTAATCAGGCGCAGACCGGTCGATTCGAAGCTACAATTTACAAAGATTTAAAGGAGATTCAAAACTCTTAATGTTATTGCCGCCTCACCATAGATTTAGCTGCATTTTATTGGTCTGCGGCACCGAAGAGAGCGAGTGGAGCAGCGACAGCAGCTGGACGCGGTAGTGTGTGGGCACATGGTGCAGTCGATATGAGAACATTTCCATGAGAGTGTGAAGCATGGCCCAGGCATGGTTCTTGAACACCGTGGGCATTAGTTGGCCTGCGTATTGGAAAATTCGTACAATTTGTTTATCATTTCTAGCTACTGCACTCACTCAGAAAACCCTTCACGCCAAGCGACTCGATTTCCGTGTAGACCAAAAGTCTCGCGTATGTCTCGAGCAACGCCGCTGCCGGCACTTGGCCCTTGGTTTGGGCCTGCTTCAGCATTTGCGTGACGAAGCTGTGGATCAGCGACATTTTGCTGTGCACAGTGAGGCTGTCCAGCACTGCCACCGAAAAGTTGACGGCTGGTATCTGGGCGCCATTGGGTGACTTGGAGGTTCCATTGAGGGCCTCCAGGAGCAGACCCATGGGCCGTCCGAAATACTCCTGATTGGTCGAGTACGCATTGCACACAAGAATGATGCGAAAATCGTTGCCCAGCGACATGTTCATCATGGTGTTTGGCGAGACCAGGTGCTGCAGAAAGCTGTGGGTGGATGGAATGATTACTGCCTGATCCTCATGCCGTTTGCATGGATGCTTACTCGTGGTGATTCTTCAGGGCAATAGGCAGTGGTCGTGTTATGTTCATATTCTCCACACGCGCCTTCTTCATCAGATGGATCCACACGCAAATGGGTGCCATGTGGCGGACCATGGACGATTTGTTGATGTCCGGCAGCTTGAGTGGCTCCTGCTCCGGATAGAGCAGATCGAACAGCCGGAAGACGGGCAGAAAGTTAGTAATCTGGAATGGATTTTCTGTTGAGTTCTGTTCGTTCTTGAATGTCTTTTGCTCTTCCTACGGGATTCTTTTGAATGCTGCCAGAGATGAATTGCAGAAGGATCCACATCAACTGGTCGCGTCCCTTGCGTAGCTCCAACTTTGAAAGCTGCAGAGGAAAAGATAGTTCTTATAGACATGATTTATACGAATCTGTGAAGCGTACCTTCTCGTGCAGTGACAGGACAATGTGCATAAAGCTGACAAATTGGAAGAGCACAAAGTAAATCAGCTGCGAGGAGAGATGTAGCCACACCCACTCGTTGGGTGTAATCTGCTCGTCCGAGGAGTTGAATCCACTGCCCGCAGTGGCGTCATTTGCCTCAGTCATCTCCATGGCATGTATGATCAGGTTGACCAGCTGCTCCTCCAGGGCATTGTAGCGCTGCTTTTGGTGCTTCTGTAGGTTGAGCATTTGCGAGACCATCTCGCGGGAGTAAGGCTGCTCCAGCACATACCGTAGCAGGGGCCGCTGCTCCTCCAGCAGTTCCGGCTCGTAGGGCAGGCTGCCCTTAAAGTTGAACTTCAGGGTGTTGTGGTCGAGGCGCCAGGAGTTCATCATGTGATCGGCGTAGCCAAAGTGCTCCACAATGGGCAGCATGTTGGCGTGTCCAATGATCGATACCATTTGGGCCGTGGTGCGGAATTCCTCCACGAAGTCGGTCATCAGCTTGTTCAGCTTCCAGTGGTAGGGAAACGGACGCATTATCTCGTTGGCAACGAAGTAAGCTGGCAGCAGGCAATTGTTTCGATCGAACAGAAAGCGCAGTATCTCCTCCACGGCCAGGAGTTGCGGCATGTAGGTCACATTGACGTTGAGGGGGAACCACTGCGCCTTGTCGCGGCACACCTTCATGATCTCGCGCACTCCCTTGTAGTCCACCTGCATGATCACCTTCTTGATGATCCGAAAACTTTCGATCCAAAAGGTTTTGTGTTCGTAGTCGAGTTTCTCACACATCAGCACCTTGTCGCAGATCATCCAAGCTGTTATTACATGCGCATCCACCAGCTTCACCAGCGCGGCCATCATTACTTTCATATGATAACTGGACGCGCTGGCGGCACGTAGCAGGTACAGCCGCAGGACATGCTCCCGATGCTCCTGCGCAATGTTTCCAAAGGCCGCAACTGAAAAAGACATTGGTCAATTACATTGTGGGACCACTCGAACAGATACGCATACCCAAATCATTTGAGAAAGTCGTTGCCTTGTCCTCTTCGCCGAATGGCTTAAAGACGATGACGCTCACAAAGGCCTCGTCGATGGAGTCTACTTTCTGTAAGAGGCAAGAGCTGTTTTAGCTAAATGGATTTCCTTCGTTGCGGTTGCTGTAGGTCTTACCAGGAAGTCGTTAACGGTGTCTATTATTTGCGTTTCCATTTCATTCCATTTAAATTTCCGGCCGCATAAACAAATTTCTTCGGCTGGCCTGGCTCCTGCTACAATCGATAACACACGCCGGCACACACAGACGATAGATAGATTTTCGTCAGCCCTGGTTCTCAGCTGCTGCACTGTACCATTCTGTTGTTTGGTTGGAATATTCTGTACTGCAATAACAATGAAGAAGGTCTTGGTTACAGGTGGAACTGGTCTTGTGGGCAAAGCCCTAGAAGCTATCATCAAGAAAGAAAGGCCCACGGATGAGGAATGGTATTTTGCCGGCTCCAAAGATGCCGACTTGACGTGAGTATTGTGCATACAGTGAGAACTGTAAATAAACAAGCATTTTCCATAGGAATCTGGCAGCCACGCAGGCACTCTTCGCAAAGGAGAAGCCCACGCATGTCATCCACTTGGCCGCCATGGTCGGGGGCCTGTTCCACAACATGAACAATAACCTGGACTTTTTGGTGAGAAAGAAAGGGCTTCAAATTCTCCAGCAAAGATTAACTCTCCTCGGTTGCAGCGAAACAATCTGCTGATCAATGACAATGTGCTGCAAACGGCCCACGAGCAGGGATGCACCAAAGTTATCTCTTGCCTGTCCACTTGCATATTCCCAGATAAGACCACATACCCCATAGACGAGACCATGGTCCACAATGGTCCCCCACATCCTTCAAACTACGGATACTCCTACGCAAAGCGGCTCATCGACATTCAGAACCACGCGTACAACGACAAGTACGGGCGCTTGTACACCTCTGTGATTCCCTGCAACATCTTCGGTCCCCACGACAACTACAAGCCCGAAGTGAGTCACGTCATTCCGGGCATGATCAATCGCATGCACAAGCTGATCACGGAGCAGGCGGATACTCCGGAAAGCGAGAAGGTTTTCACAGTATTTGGCAGTGGCAAGCCTCTGCGTCAGTTTATCTACTCCTTGGACCTGGCAGAACTGATGATTTGGGTACTGCGGAGCTACGACAGTGTCGAGCCAATTGTCCTGAGTGTCGACGAAGCCCAGGAGGTGACCATCTTCGAGGTGGCCCAGGCAATAGCCACAGCATTTGAGTTTAAGGTGAGCAGAGGTACTTTAGCGCAGTTGGTACTTTAATAATGATTGTCTTCAGGGTAAACTTGTTTGTGATACAAGCAAAGCGGATGGGCAGTACAAGAAGACGGCGTCCAATGCTAAGCTACGCAGTCTCCTGCCGGAATACACGTTCACGGACTTTGAAACGGCCATCAAAACATCGGTGGAGTGGTACAGAAGCAACTATGAACAGGCGAGAAAGTAGCTGGAACGAACGCACAACCCACAATTGTAAATAAATTCCTGCCTTATTGTCTTCAGAAGTTCAAGGGAATCTTACTCTTGCTTTTTATATCGAACAAGCTGTAATCGGTAATAATATCATACGGTGAGTGGCTTAAACTGTCCAGGAGTCGCCATATTTATTCCTCTTCGGGCTGCCAGTGGCTGCCTCCGGTGTTGGCTCAACAAAACGTGGCTGAACGGGGGCTGGAGCCTCGTAGGGCTTTGAGTAAGGACTTTGCTGACGGGTCGCGTACTCCTCGCGATTCTTCTTGCGCAAATCTTCGTAGCTTTGTCCAGGCTTGGCCGGCTCCAAAGGCAATTCGGTGTCCATCATTTGTCCAGATGCTGATGCAAACAGAGGAAATGTCAAATATTCGTTGTGAAATTCAGTGCAGGTTACTCACAGTCCAGACTGGGCCGGTAAATGTCATCTAGGCCAGCCAAAGTGGGCCGTGATTCAGTGTCCAAGTTCAAGGAAGTGTTGCGCGAAGGCTTGAGTCCCTCATCGCTGTACACATCCGCGGAGCTGGGCGAGAAGGGAGCCAATGTAAAGGCTCGGCTCAGGCTCTCATCTGGCGTGATGGTGCTAATGACACCACCACCCTGTCGGCGCTGCCGCAGGACTTCGCCCAGGCGGGAGTTTGGCAGCCGCATTATCTTTTCGGCACACTTCTGCTGGTAGCTGACCTTTCCCACAAAGTAGCCCATAATGACACCCATAACCACTTTGGGAACAGCTCCGTACTTGCCATTGCCCTTTATGTAGCCGTTCTTCACACCAAAGTAGGCCAACAGCCCCAGACCAGTGCCAAAGGGCAGCGACCGCTGGAAGAAAGATTCCGTGTTGCACTCACGTAACGCCTTCACCTCCTCCGCGGAGAACTGATAGTCTGCCTGAAAAGTAACGAATGAATTAAAGATTACACAAAAACGGAACCCATTCTACTCACTAGTGGGTGTTGATCTGGATGCTGAGGCGGCCGGGAGCCATCATTCAACGGAGCATCCATGATGACCAAATTTTATGGAGAATTTATGAAATAAAAATGATACAGAAGATTGTTGGCGGCGGCCGGCTCGGGTAACTTGGCAGCCCTGGTTTGTGAGCAGCAAAAACAGCCCTGTCTAAATGCGCGCGCGCCGTTTTCGCTCTTTTCAACTATGATGTATTAATACGAAAATAAAATGTCATCATAACTAACCGCCAGTGCGTAAATTGTCATCCCAAACACCCATTTAGATAAACAACTTAACAGATAAAATAAATCTAAATTACTGGTATTTCGCCATATTCACGTCTAGGGCTGATGACAAGCATAACAACCAGTGCCAGGGATGCAACACGCACGCAGATTATGACATATTCGCTGTCAAGTAAAGTTACAGCTGTGTCGTCTGCTGGCCCAATCCAAAGCCGTGTTATTGTAATTAATTAGAGTTTTGTATTTTTTGGAAATGTTCTCCGCTACCACACACTCTGTGGTAAGTGTACGCTCCACATGGCCCACCGCCCGCTGGCGCCGATCCGCTGATCCAGCCCTCACCTCACTGACGCTCGTTTCCTCTTACGTTCACTCAGCCCTACCTCTACCTTGGCAACTTTAGTAGAAAACCGCATTACTACAGCGTGAAGCGTACCAAGCTGCCAGGAGGCGCTGGTGCGGCGCGCCTTTTTGCTGACAAATCAAAGTCATCCAAACAGCCAACGACGGGCAAGTGCCATGCGCTCGTGCTGGAGTTCAAGAGCCTGCTCAGTCGGTCGGGCGCCAACCTGCAGAGCATGGTGGAGAAGGCCGTCAAGCTGAACGGAATTCTGGACACTGCGCTGGTGAACGATGCCCTCGCCAAGGTGACCCGCATGCTGCCCGCCCTCGGCAATGTCCACGTCACGCTGGTGGAGCCACTCACACAGATCGGCCATGAGCAGCAACCAAATTATCAGTTTGAAGTATCTTTGGATGGTGCAGCAGGCGCCAAGCCCATAGGCGCACATGTGTAAATGAATCAATTAATATCTGCTCTTGATCCTTATTAATATTTGCTTGAATTTCAGCAAAATGTATCCAATCGTAACGAAAAGTCTTCTAAATCCGCTCTTCTCCCAGCATCAACTGTGAGTACCATAGAGGGCCGCGCGCTCGATCCTCTTGTTAACTTTGAATTTCCATGCAGGAGGCAGTTACGCGGCTTCAAGACGGATCGTTCCATAGACGCGGAGCAGAAGCGAAATCCAACGATGACGTCCAGACTGAAGACTGCACTGGGGACAACGTCACAAAAGCTAGATGGCGAATCAAACCTTCAGGGAGAGAAACTTAGAAAACTACTGTCCAAAGCCGACGGACACGGATCGCCCCACAATGCGGTAAGCTGCAGTGCAGTCTTCATGGATTGGCTGGCTCTAATATAAGTTAAACATTTGCAGGAGAATCTGAAGATTGCATTTGCCGAGGGCTATTTGGCAGCAGCAAACTCAGAAGATTCACCGAAAACTGGCAAAACAATGAAGTATCTGAAGGTATTATTCCAGTGTGTCCAATGACATAGTTTTACCCTTTACCATTTCCCTTCCAATGGAACCACCTCCCCCCAGTTTATCAAATAATGCCCAGTACTTATCACACAGACTTTCCAGACACTCATCGTTATCGTCGTCTTCATTGGCATATTCCTGAGCTTCTTCACCACCTCGAACGGTTCCGTATTTCGGTGAGTGCACGACTCTATCCAGGCGTCGCCAGAACAGTATTAATGTTGCTCCCTTTTAGTAGCATTCAGCTGGGCAACCAGGTGGAGGTTGATCCGGAGGAAATCAATGTCACATTCGACGATGTCAAGGGCTGCGACGAGGCCAAGCAAGAGCTCAAGGAGGTCGTCGAGTTCCTAAAGAATCCCGACAAGTTCTCAAACCTAGGCGGCAAGCTTCCGAAGGGTGTGCTCCTGGTTGGACCACCAGGAACTGGAAAAACCCTGCTGGCACGTGCCGTGGCAGGCGAGGCCAAGGTGCCATTCTTCCATGCCGCCGGACCAGAGTTTGACGAGGTTCTCGTCGGCCAAGGCGCCAGACGGGTGCGAGACTTGTTTAGTAAGTGAAGACTTTGCTACCTCGAGCCTCTGTTATCTAATTCCCAACTTTTTCAGAAGCGGCCAAGGCTCGTGCTCCGTGTGTGATCTTTATCGATGAAATTGATTCGGTTGGCGCTAAGAGGACAAACTCGGTGCTACATCCGTATGCGAATCAAACCATAAATCAGCTGCTCTCCGAAATGGATGGCTTCCATCAGAACGCTGGCGTCATTGTGCTGGGTGCCACCAATCGCCGGGACGATCTGGATCAGGCTCTGCTGCGTCCCGGTCGATTCGATGTCGAGGTGGTGGTGTCCACGCCAGACTTTACTGGCCGCAAGGAAATTCTGTCTCTCTACTTGACCAAGATTCTGCACGATGACATCGATCTGGATATGCTGGCACGTGGCACCTCTGGCTTCACGGGCGCCGACCTGGAGAACATGATCAACCAGGCGGCACTCAGGTGAGATAAATTTAAAGGGAATGGTCATGGAGTGGAGCTAAGAGTTACTTCCCCTTGCAGAGCTGCCATCGACGGAGCTGAGACGGTGAATATGAAGCACTTGGAGACTGCACGCGACAAGGTACTTATGGGCCCCGAGCGCAAGGCTCGCCTGCCCGACGAGGAGGCAAACACCATTACGGCCTATCACGAGGGTGGCCACGCGATTGTCGCATATTACACAAAGGAGTCGCATCCACTGCATAAGGTAACCATCATGCCACGAGGCCCATCGTTGGGACACACCGCGTACATACCCGAGAAGGAGCGATACCATGTGACCAAGGCCCAGCTATTGGCCATGATGGACACCATGATGGGTGGACGTGCTGCCGAAGAGATCATATTTGGATTGGACAAGATTACTTCGGGCGCCAGTAGTGATCTCAAACAGGCTACCTCAATTGCCACACACATGGTCAAGGACTGGGGAATGTCGGAGAAGGTGGGTCTGCGCACGATTGAGCCAAGCAAGGGTCTGGGCACCGGCGAGACCCTGGGACCCAATACCATTGAGGCGGTGGATGCCGAAATCAAGCGCATCCTCAGCGATAGCTATGAGCGGGCGAAGGCCATTCTAAAAAAACATACCAAGGAGCACAAGGCGCTCGCCGAGGCGCTCTTGAAGTACGAGACTCTGGATGCTGACGACATCAAGGCAATATTACACGACAACCAGACGTAGTTTCCTCTTTTAATGATTGCCCTGGGTGGGCATGGGCATGGAGCTGAACTGCAAACAAATTTTTAGTTGTACCGCTAAACTAAAACAGAAAAGATATAATACAAGAACGGGACGCAGACGGACAGTTAAGAAATAAAATGTTATACATATTTTAGTAACGTTTTCCATCATCCACGTAGTATTTTAGTTTGAAATAAATACAAAATTGAAGTCATGTTAACAGTTGCGAAATCCACCGATAGCAATATCGATATATCGAAATTAGTCTATCGATGTTGTTCCCAGCCCTGCGCAAAGGCCACCTAATTGATTGAACGGGGACCGTGTTTTTTTTCTATTTAAATAAATTGCAAAAGTAATCAAATAAAATGTGTGACTACAAGATTTCGGATCGCGCATACACAAAGCTGATATTCCATGTTGCCAAATATCCCCACCAGGCTGTGAACGGGCTGCTGCTGGCCGATAAGACATCGAAAGGGTCGCTGTTGGAAATCGTGGATGCAATCCCGCTGTTTCATCAATGCCTGCACGTCACCCCCATGGCAGAGGTTGCCCTTATGCAGGTGGGTTCTGGCTGCTGCTACACCAGCATAATTGACCATTTCCGTGCACTGTGGCATGTGTATGTGCTGTACTCACCATTGGGTCATTTCAGATTGATGCCTATGCAGAGCTGGAAGGCCTCGTGATTGCCGGATATTACGCGGCTCCGGAGAACTTCTACGACAACCAGATAGACAAAGCGCCTGCCGTTAAAATCGCCGATAAGATCCAGGATAACTTCAAGAACGCCTGCCTCGTGTTGGTGGACAACAAGCTGGTGACTCTAGAACACGACCGTGCCGCCATTCAGGTCTACACATGTGCGGGCGACTCTGGCCGATGGTCAAAGGCCAAGTTTACACTGTCACAGTCGGCACAGACCCTGGAGGGTGTCTCGCTGCTGCTAAAGCGCGGTGCCATGCGCGACGTGATTGACTTTGATAACCACCTGGACAACCCAGAGAATGATTGGACCAACGATTTTCTCAATCAGTCGCTGAACGACCTGCAGAAGCTATACTAGTCCCGGTCGCCCCACTTGGTAAACGGGTAAAGCCCTATTGTAACCATATGTATGTTATAGTTTAGCTAATTCGCATTAGAACGAACACAGAGAAGCAGAGCCGGAAATTCAACCTTTGCAATTTAATTTATTGTAATTACAATTTGGGTTTCAGTAATCTTTAGAATAATGCATATAAGTTAAATAACATTCAACTAATTAATAAATAATCAATTCTTTCATCTTGCTGTCCATGGAGTATGTGTGTCGCGAGTCTGTCGTTTAAAGTCTGTTTGTCCGACCCGTTCAGTCCTGTCCGACTGTGTCCTGTGCTTTCTGCCCCCCTCCGTCTGTTGTCTAACCTGTTGGTAAACCTAAGCACGTTTACAATTAATTTAGATCGTTAATAAATACAAATGAGTAATATGTATATAATTTTGCTCTTGCTTTTGCTTTCTGGCCATGTAAATTGAAATATTTTACAACAATATTTGGTAATTGGTAATATCGCGATTGCTGATTATACATTTGTAGTCATACGGTATACATAATACGTATATGTCGATATATGCATGTATGTGTGTAAGTATGTAGGTCGGAGATCGGAGTATCGCAAAAACGTTTATTAATTTCAGTGTATTATTGTACGGGGGTTATGTTTGCCAAACGAACTCTTTGAACCATACAAAATGTACGAGTATAGGGGAACGTAATATAACGATTACGAGTTTAAGGAAACTGGAACTGGAACTGGTTGCGTCTGCCATCTGCTTCATTCTTATTTTCATCTTAGTATTATTTGATTCTCTTCTTGTTATGTGGCATTTATGTATATGTATATGTAATATCATTTGCAGTATTGATTTCTGCTTGTTGTTTTGCATCGATTTGTAAATTCCTCAAACATGTGGATGTGTTCGTGTGTGTGTGTGTGTGTATGTGACTCTACGTGGGCGCCTTTTGATTATATCCTAGCTATACAAGTGCCTGCTGTGGCGCACCTCTGCGCCTGAACCTGAACACGCGCAAGCAAAATCATTTTGTGTCTGGCTGGTGGTATAACAAATGATGTACTCGAGTCGCAGGCTTGCTTGGGTTCTCGGTGTTGTGTCTTGTGTGCCATTCTCCCATGTTATGTTAGTTGATCTATAAAAAGAGTCACAAAATGCACAGATAGTGGGGTTATGTAAACGCAGCCAACAGTGTGGTGTGCTGTGAAATGTGTATCAGAAAACGGAGTGAAAAAACACCCAAACAGAAAACGGTTTTTTTGCAATTTAGAAATTTCTAGGTATGAGTGTGTGACCGCACTGAGATCGCTTGTAGTATGTGTGTGTGTGTGTGTGTGTCTGCTTGATATATCGGGTGTAGTCTATACGTGGGCAGTAGATTTCATCTAGAGATTGCCGCCTCTGATATTTACCATTCCCGAGGACAGAGAGTTGATGGCATCTTCCACGGTCGGCTTGTGACGATCGGTTTTGGATGAGTTTATGGGCGAGAAGTTGTCTACGATTGTAAGCGTGAACGAATACATAACAAATATATAGAGACAGAAACACAAAAAGGCGATTCAATAAGCAAATCTCATGTGCCAATTACCGAGATCACCACTCGAACTGGAGTCCGTAAAACTGGGTGTGCCCTCTGTCCATGTGGGTGTGGAGCCCTCACCTGATGCCGGCGGCGTCCAGGCCAGTCCACCGCGAGACCCATACTGGCTGCTCGACGATGTGTCCACCGCCAGCAGCGTATCCAAATGAACCTCAGAGACGCTGTGCAACAGAGAGATGGAAAATGTAGACAATCCTCAGAGCAGATCGTATCGGATTGGCATACCTCACGATATCCTCCTTGTAGGAGCCTCGATAGGCGGGTCCAATGTTCATTTTGCGATCCAAGTACTGAGCCTGCTGCTGGTAGTACGCCTGCTGCTGCGACTGCTGATGATGGTGATGATGCTGGTGGTGGTGAGACCTGCGACCCATCGAGGATGTGCTGTTCTTGTTCGAGCTGTCCTCGGAGATGTCGTCGAAGGCAGGGGGAGGAGTCGAGCTGCAGGATGGAGTTGTGCCTAGCGATACAATGAGCAGAACATACAATGAGTGGCCGGCCGCAGAGTATTAAATCAAACACAAATGCCAATCGAGATTAGGGATGAATGAATGGGTGAATTGTGTGTGCCAAGCGGGTGCGAGCGTGCCTAGAGTCTACTTCTGTCCCCCCACCGAAGAACCCCTCTGCGTGTCCTGCGTTTCCTGCGAGCCTCGGGTGTCACTCTCCGGTATCGTGGATGGAGCTGTTTTGGGCGCACGTCTCTTTCCTCGCTTCATGGGCTGCGGCTTCGTTGGCTGAGGAGGCGGCTCGTCGGTTAGCTTGGGCTGTGGCCGCCTCGGGCGATGCGTTGACTCCAGCTGCCGCTTCACCTCCAGAAAGGCGCTGACCGACTGCAACAGATTGTCCTCCTCCGTGTCGCAGACATCGTCGCCCAGTGCCAGATCCGCGTAGTGCAGATAGCGACTGCGCTTCTGGCGTCGCTGCTGCTTCTGCTGCAGATCCCGGCGTGGCGAGCGCTGCGAGGGAATGCTGCCCGAGGATCGGGAGCGTCCAGAGCGAAAGCTCTCGGCTCGCAATGCGGGAAAGCCACCCATTATGGAGGCCGCTGAGGAGCGCCTGCTGTGCGCCACGAAGCTGTTCTGCCGCTGAAAGATGTCCACGTGGTTGAGCAGGCGCGGCTGCTGGCGTCGGAAGCTGCTCTCCGAGCGGGCCGTGGAGTACACCGACAGCTGGGAGCCGCCTCGTCTCTGAGAGGATCTGCGCAGCAGGGAGACCGCAAGCGGAGGGATTGGCTCTGGTGGTGGTGCAGCGGGGTCAGCGGAGTCAGGGGCATCGAAGAGATCGTGCAGCTCGAGCCAATCCTGCACGTTACTGGGCGAGCGACGGTCGCCGAAGCGGGGCATGGTATCCCTGGGCACCTGCAGTGTGTGGATCTGTGTTGGGGCTGTTGGTGGATTAGTGTGCGGTTCTGTACCTGGCGTCGAGCGGTCCTGTCCATCCCGGCGACGAGGCGATCCGCGCGGCGGCACTGGCGGCGGCACCCGAGCCTTCAGATTGCTGCCAGCCCCGGCTGGAGTCCGCTGCTTGACTGGCGGTGGCATCCGCTCTCGCTCAGCCATGCCACTCCCACTGGCCGTGGATGATGGCCCGGCACTGGCTGCTCCGGCTGCCGCTGAGGCGGCGCCTCCTGGCGTGGGCTCTGTGGTGGGCGGCTTGGCTGGCTGGTGGATCTTGCCACTGCTGTGGGAGTGCGAGGCATGCATTGCTGTGGAGAGGAGATCGAGGATTAGGAACGGGGCAAGGTCAACAGTCAACAGTGTCAACAGCCGGTGTCGAATGGGGTGTGGGGGGGTGGACAGCCACTTACGCCTGGTGGAAGCCTCGTTTTCGCTGTCAATGGAGCGCTGTATGGCCTTGGAGAGGCTTTTTCTCTTCGATGGCGAATGCTTAAGCGCTGGAAGATGCAAGCAGAGAGCGGGATTAGTGGCAAGGACTCCACTGGGACAGGCGGGGGGGGGGGACTGGTGGCAGGTGTCCAAAGCAACTACGCAAAGCCAAAGGAGCAGTACGGGATTGCCAGAAAGTGGACACTAACGTGACTGAGACATTGAGAGGCATGCTTTTGGCGTCCAAACAAATCAATAAATAATGGTGAGTGATTAATATAGAAAAAAATCAAAGTAGAGCACGGAAAAATTGTTCAATAATTTCATTACCTATATAGCTGGTTACCAAGGTACGAAATTTTCTGTGATTCCCCTTGATCTCGGGGAGATCCACTATATGCGTGAGAGGTGAATGCATTCGAGACATATTTAAAAGAAAAGAAAGCAGAGAACAGAGCGATTACGACGGCATGATTATCGTTTACAGATCAATTCTGATTCGGAGCCTACGCAGGCAGGCCCAAGCCAAAGGTGTACCATAATTGCATATTTCTTTTCCACATCAATCCATCAATTAGCCACTTACGAGTGTACAGTGTATAGGGTGTGTGAGTGTGTCAGTGTGTCAGTGTGTCAGTGTGTGATTGATAAATCTACCAACAAAAATCATCTAAGAACACCCTTCAATTGAGCGTCTTTTGGGCAGAAGAACTGCCTTACAGTACGAGTACTTAGCACAGAGGCCTCTATACAACTCTTTCGCTTTGCCCACTTACGGGAGGGTATCTTGCGGAACACGGTCTTGGCCATGAAGTTTTGGAATCTTTGAGCATAGAACGAGGGCCGACACACCGAGACGGTTTCCTGTGGAAAGAGCAATGAGTTCCATGTGAAATGCGAGCCATAGCGTTGTCCACACCACAGCTTACCCCATCGTGTATGATGCTTTTGAATGTGTGCTCCAGCTTCTTCTTCAGCCTGTAGGATTGCAGAATGTCAATGATGCCGATGTAGAGCAGAAGGCGTTCGCCCTTTTCGCTGCGCGCCGGAATGCCACCAGGCCTGGCAATAAGCAATAAGCAATATGATACAATGATCTTTTGATCAGAAATCGCATAGGAAATACATACGGCACATCCTCTTCGTCGTCTATGGGTTCGCTCTCCGCCTGTATGCTCTCCATGGCCGTGGAGTGCGCCACCAGACGCTGCCGATTAACCGATCTGTATGCCACACTGGATTAGCTCTTGAGTGTTAGTTGGATCTGCGTGGCAATGGCTCGGGTACTCACTTGTTCCGACTGATGCCCGTGGCCGCGTCGCGGTCCTTGCCATCCCCATCCTGGCCGTCCAGCGGATCGTCCACATCCCCGTCAGAGTCCTCGGCCAGGGGCGCCCGCAGGGGCTTCCGGCTCTCGCTCAGTTTCTCCTTGAGCGCCACATCTAGATTGTGCACGCCCAGGAGCAGCGAGTAGTCCATGATCTTGAAGGACTCCAGCACCGTGCAGTCCCGCTGAATGGTCTTGATCAGCGCCGAATAGGTCTCGGCCTCCAGGAAAATCCCATTGGGGTGCTGCACCATGAAGTCGAGGTCCTTGTAGGTGGGCGACTTCTTCGACCGCTCCGCCTTGTTCGCCTTGCGCTTGAACGTCGACCCCTTCAGGTCGTACTTCAGGTGCATCCTCACCGACGACGGCAGCAGATTGTTCATGACCACCAGGCGAATGTTTTTGGCATTGCTCGTCTGCAGGCAGTACAGTCCGAAGAACTTGGGCAAGAGCGTGCGCGGATTTTGATTCAGATTCATATAGTAACTGGAAAGGCATAAGGCAGGAGGGGAGATTAAGCTGCCGCGCTGCAGTCGATCGTTGGCGGCACCCACCCAGGCAGTAGTTTCTGTAGGAATTCACCCTCCTTGTGTTGCACCGTCTTGATGATGAACTCGTCGTCGTTCGTCAGGTAGAATATAGAGCCGGAAGCGCCAGGATTCGACAGTTCTCGCAGCGGAGAAGTGCACATGGACATCTGGCAAAAGAGTCGCCGTGAGTGGGGACGTCGACGCAAGTTCTACTCGCATTTTGCTCACCATGAAGTCGTCTGGTTGGATGCCAAACAGATCCCGAAAGTAACGGAATGCTATGGGGGCGTAGATCTTATATCTGAATTCGCTGTAGTGGTGGGCAGGTGTAAGGCTGGAACCCTCGGGCGGAAAGGTGATGCTCTCGATCTCCCAGAAGTCCATCATTAGCAGATCCCGCTTGGGCTTCGATGCCAGACTGCCGACCTGTTGGAGGAGGAGGGACGTTCGATTAGTAGTCCGAGAGTAGGAGATTAGCTAGCATAAATGCAGAGTCTCACTGTGTGCTGTATGCCCAGTTGTATGGAGCCCATAATCTGCGACGTTTGTATTTTCTTGTAGGTAATCTCGCCGCCCTCGCCCACGCGTCTGTGTCCAATCTTTCGCTCCTTGTCCGCCTTGTTGTTGTTGTTGGCCGTGCGCAAGTGTCGATTGCCCAACTGAAAGTAATTCAACTCATTAGCGGGTTGTACGAGTATGTGCGAGTTTGGATATGCTGCGGTGTACTTACCTCGGGCGAAGAGTTACCCACATGGTCGTTGGAGGCTAGTTTGGTTAAAGAACTTTATTAATAGGCTTTCGTTTCATGTTTAATTCAACTCCTGACGTATTTTAGGCCAATCACCGCTGCAAAGGCTGTGACTTGAACTCGGATGGACGGACTTCCCTCCCCTTCCCACACTGCCACACTGCCACTCTGCCACTCTGCCTCAGCCGCGCCCTTGACCAACCCACACACACGCCATAAACATTGTTCCTTTGTTATCAACTTTCGCCTGTCCATGGGTTCGTACAAATATGAACCCATGGGCTCTGTCCTCTGTCATTGTCCGTCCGCCATTCAACCAGTCAACTAGTTCGCCTGTCTGTCAGTCTGCACGTCAACTGGCCTGCCAGGGGGCAGGTGGGGTGGTGTTCCCTCTTGCGAGACACATGCGCCAGGGCCACGCTTTCCATTTGCCATTCATTGATTTTTTTTTGAGTCGACTTTCTTTGCACTTTTGTCTGCCACACAAAAAAACGGTAGGAGGAACGGACTGTTGGGATATTTACCATTGCTGGGATCCACTGGCTTTGCCTGCGATGTGGAGGAGCTGTCCATGTCGATGGTGTTGATGGTGTCGCCATCACCAGAAGCCATCGTGCCCAGCCGTAATTCTCTACTCTCCCTCACTCTCGCTCTCTCTCTCTCGCTTTCCGCTTAACCGTTACTGGGACATGCTGCGGATTGGAATTGTATTTGAAGCTTCTAATTTATTGTGCTGCGATCCTATTTATTGTTATCCAATCGAAATCCAGTGGCCAGGGGGCAGCGGGAACCTTGGCTTTTGTCTGGCTATGCTATGGCGTCAAACTTTTTGCTAAGATGTTGATTCCGCTGCTGCTGCTGTCATTTTCACTGCATACTCATGGGCGCGCAGCCTGGAACGGCCTGGAAGCCTGGACGTGCGCATGAACACAGGCGCCCCCACACGGCACAGGGCTGCACACACTTCCACAACACAGAGTTGCATTCCAAAAACACGGTCACAAATCACGAATTAAATCACATAAACATAATTCACATTCACATTTGTAACGTGTATTTTGGACCATGATTATTATTATTAATATTTATTTCAGTTCAGTTCATTAAGAAGCCAAATTGAACTTTTAATATTTTCTTTTCCTTTTGTTTATTAGCATTTCTGTACTCAATTAGACCTATACATCATATATAACTATTATATATATATATATTTATTTATTTATGTGGTAAATATGTATATGAATACAATAATTTGTTATGTGGAGTGTGTGTTGTTGCTGTTGTTGTTTCTCGGGTTGGTTTGGGTTTCGTTCGGTTTCGCATGGGAGGAGTGCGGTTTGTCTGTGGTGTTTATGTCTTTGTTTGGTGTTCAGTATTCGTGGAGTGTCGCTTTTTTTTGTTCTTTCCCTTACAATTACATGCATTTACAAAATAAGCGCCTTTTTTTTAAAAATACCGCAAAAAATTACGTTTATCCGTTAAAATTCTATTAAAAATGAAAAATCGTTAAACACGTCTATACGAAACATACTCGTTAAAACGAACAAAATATAGCCTACACCTACACCAAAGGGCACTACCAAACTAACTGCTTAGAGCTAGGGATGCGATCGACATGACCACGGCGACCGTTGTCCACTTGCGTTGTATAGTTGAGGCCTTATCTGAGGATTGTCAGTGGTTAATGATTGCCGTTCCACGTGGATTGCTCGTGCGGCCTCGTCTTACCTCTACTTACCATAGAAAATAGTCTCCCTGCGCTTGGTGTAGTTCGTGCCGATCAGGATAAACGCACAGGTTATCGGTGTGGGGGATTCGAGTTGATCTCTAGGAATGCGCGTCCGCACAGTCATGCTGTAGAGGCCACTGGGGTCCTGGTCCAGCTGCGTCAGCACCGAATCCAGCACATGGGTGTCGAACCTGCACAGAAAAGAATTCATGATTAACTCCCCTTGCATGCCAAGTCGCAATCTGCAATTGTTGGTCTTACATGACCGACAGGATCGGCTGTGGAAAGACGTGTTGAACCGCACACATTATGTCCACATCCGACTGCGCGCCGCCCATTCGTGCCTCCAGCATGAAATCCGACTCAGGAACTGTCAGCGTGTTGGCGATGGGAGATGGTGAAAAATCGTGAGAATTAATCAAGTGTCAGACAAAACAAAGAAATATTCCAAAAAAGAGGAATATCAACGACAACAGGCGGTTCCGGGTGCCGCAGTGACTGCCACCTGACACGCATGCAAAATGTGAAAGGGGAATCACACGTGCCACAGGCACACATCACACCCCATACAATGCCCCGTTATGGCACCCGTGACACCCACCGATTATTTGTAAGCGGGCACTCCGCTTGTCCGTGGTCTCAAAGGTCTGCACGGCACAGGTGTACTCCCCCGTCATGTTCCAGTCGGGATTCTTTATCGATATAACACCGGGACTGCCCTCCATGCTGAATATTTTGGTGTCTATCTTTGACTTCATGAAGCCCTACAAGTATAAGACGCAAGCAATTTTATGTTAATTAATTTTTGCCGCCCCCGTACCCGTCCACAGTGCGGGGCAGACAATGACAATGACTCACCATGGCGAACCCCTTCACCGAGGGTATCCATTGATAGATGGAGTGATTGTTGAACAGCCACTTCAGCACAAATCCCTTCTCGCTGGGCCCAATCTCGTACTCGCAGTCGAGCACCAGAGGATCGGGTTCGTTATCACGTTCGAGTGTGTAGGTGTGCGGCACCCGCAGATTCGTGATGCGCACCGAGTGGGTGACTACGCAGCACAAAACGGAGCAAACAAAAAAAAACGGCGGAGGATTAGGATTAGTTTCCGGCATCAAGTGGCTTTTGCGGTAATCCCCACACTCGCGGGTGTGCCAGTAGCACTCACCTGTGAGTAACGTCAGCCAGGCCAGCAGCGTTGCGCACAGGACCCTCCCGCTCGCCATGTGCGCTGCCTAATCTTCGACCTGGTCCGGGTCCGGAGCCGGGTCCTCCTCGTTGTTGTCGTTGTGCTGCTCTTGGACGCTCCGTTGCTGCTCTGCAGTGACTGCAATCGGCTAATACTGGACGTTAATTGTTGTTCTCGTTGTCGTTGTTGTTGTTGTTGTTGTTGTTGTTGTGGTTGTGGGTTGCTCCTCGGTCCAAATCCGTTTGCGGGTCCAGGGCCGCCTAGGCACAGGGACAGCCACAGCCACCATTTGGGCTGGGAATCACACTCATTATCACGGACATCTCATCACAGAACAACAGTTTGACTGGAACCCGGGGCACCCTTGGTGGTTGTGTTGTACAATTAGGAGTTGGAGGGGGAGCAGGAGCTGTGGCAGTGGCAGTGTCGGTGGCCGTGGCGGTGGCGGGGGTGGCCGATACAAACTTTTCTCATACAAACGATGAGCTCAGCACTACGAGCGGCCCCAACGGTGGAGTTGGAGTGTGCACATCCCTCGGCGGCTCGCCGTGCGCCTCTCTGTCGCCTGCTGAATTGCTGCACTACGTCCACCTTCGATTATTACACTTGCAGTTCCATTTTATGGCTGGTAATTCAAAACTTTCCACATATACAACACTTTTTGTTGGTGAAAAATCGACTTTTTGCTATGTGTAAAACGTGTGCTAGTGTGCGAGAGTGTGTGTGTGCGTGTGGGGGAAAATTGTGCCAAAACGGAGTGTGGAGTTCGTACGGAGTAGTACTCGTATTCACGGCGCATCCACCGCGACCTGCGTGGTGGTTCTGCTCAGTGTGACGACGAACTTATCGATAAAAATATACCAAAATATAGGTTTTCGTTTTAGAACCATACCATAAATATACCGTTATCTTAAATCATTTTCTTCGATATTGCTCTTCCATTTAATATTACCAGCTAGTTGGAATTCGCAGCACTAAAACTATAATTTTATGCAATTCATTAACCATTTTTTCATTGGTTGGTTAGTTTTTATGACTCCTTTTTGTTAACTTTTTTGCAAAACAAGCTTAAAACTAAAAAGGTCAACCAAAAAAAAAATATCTTTAAATGTTACGTGAGTGGGAATGAAATGTTACGTCATTTGACAATTTGTTGCTGGCTAACCGGTAGTAGAGTATAGTATGTGCGTTTGTGTACCCTGCCTTGCCTTCAACCTTTGCAATTCGAAGATATCCTTTGTCTCAAAGTAACATAATGTTGTCCATGTTGGGGAATCACTTTGTTGCTAAAGTTAAAATATCCCTAAGGGAATATAATATACCTTAAGTAGTCACCCTGGATCATGTTGGTATTTTCTATATAAATGTTGCCCCTTTTCCAGTGCAGCTTTTAATGTCTTAACACTGGAATGCATACTAGGTTCAAAGGAGAGAGCTTTTAGCTCTCTCTCTTTCTGCCACTGCGCCAGCGCTTCATTTGTCAGTTGCAGCTTCCATACACAACCGTTGCTCGAATGCAACCCTGGATGCAACGAGCGCGCGCGCCAATTCGATTGCAAGTCGAAATTTGAATGGGAAAACTGCAGTGCATTAGTATGTTGTGGTTTATTAAATTTTCAATAACATCAGCAAAAGTCTTAGAGTCTAATTAATATTTAATAGTATTTTTTTTCTTTTTGTTACACGCACACATAAAGTACTACACACGCGTGTACATATATGTGAATTCACTTTAAAAGTATGCTATAGATGTGCAATGGATCAGATTCGCATGGATATATGTGGATATACGATATACAATGTGTAAGTGGACTCGCAACTATAGCGTTTGATTTGGTCGCATTAAAATCTCTGTGCTCTGGCATATTCTACTCCTACACATACTGATCACTACGTGGCTGTCGGACCTGGCTAGGTGCTAGGGGGTGACTAGTTGGACAGAGGGGGGCAAAGGGTGTGTTAAAAAGTGCTTAGATCGAAATGAGACAGAAATCACCGTGGGTGGAATCAAATATACACAAGCCAAGCGGAACGGGGGATGGTCCTAAGGTGTTCTGCGACAGGACCTAGTCACTCGCCTCGTCGTGACTGGCCGCTGGTGTCCGACGGTGCTGATGCCCGATGAGCGTCTCGATGCGAAAGTCCTTGGCATGGCTCTGCTTGTTGGACCGCAGGCTGGCTGGCGCACCGTCGTAGCGGCTCCTCGGACTGGACGTGAGGGCCTGGACAATGGGGCTTCTGGAGGTCTCGGCATGCTCGAACAGCAGCATATCCGCGGGCACGTCCAGACGGTTTGTGCACGCACTATCCACGGAGTCCGATATGTGCGAGTCCTCCTGGTCGTTCTCGTTGGCGCTCTCCACATCGATCTTGTCCTCGCACGAGTCGTCGTCCGCCTCTGCCTCTGCCTCCGCCTCGGTCTCTGCATCCGCATCTGCCTCCGCCTCCGCATCGTCGTTGTACACATTGAGATCCATGTAGCCACCGCCAGTGGCGCCGCTGACTCTCTCCCCGTACTCGCCGTGCGCCGGAATTCCAGCGGCGGCACTGGCCATAGTCGCCACATCAAAGGGGTAGGGACTTTTGTACTTGCCGCCAACTCTACTCCCAGCTCCGCCACTGCTGTGGGCCACGGCCTCTGCTGCCTCCACACCCCGTGCGCGATTTATGAAGTTGAGGCGATCAAACTTGTCGCCATTTTGGCCATTCTGGTACAGCGATGCCTCGGCATTGGCGAAAAAGTTAAACTTCTTGTCCGCCCGCAGCGCCGTGTCGAAGACATCCGCCGGCGAGTGCATCACGTCAAAGTCTCGGCTGCCGTTGAAGTTGGGCACATTGAAGTGCACCGGGACCAGCGGCACGGGTTTGCGTATCCAAAAGGGCGACAGTGTGCCGAATACCGCCGGAAAGGAGAATCGCTGCATTGTGGGGGCTCG